TTTTTTTCTGTATATAATATCTTGAGTTGAACAAAAAATAATTAAATTAAATTTTAATATTAACGTTGTTGCTAAACAAAACAATTTTATATATATATATTACTTTCATGTGAACAAAGTTTCACATTAGACAATTTGCTTTTTTGTACCTTAAAAAAAAAATGTATAATCAAGGATTTGTTAGAAATTCTTGTGGTCATGATAATACTACAAGTTGTGCAAATTGTACATCTCCAGTAAGTAGTAGTAGTAGTAGTGAAAAAGAGTGTGGGGAGAGAGAGAGAGAGGGGGGAAAACATTTGTCATTACATTAGGCTTAATTTTATTTACAAATAGTAGTAGTGGTAGTAGTAGTATTAGCAGTAGTAGTAGTAATAGTGGTAGTAGTAGTAGAGAAGTAGTAGTTTAGAGAAAAAGAAAGAGAAACAAAGAGAGAGAGAGGGGGGGAGGAGGGAAAACATTTGTGATTACATTAGATTTAATTATATTTATAAGTAGTAGTAGTAGTAGTAGTAGTAGTAGTGGTGATGGTAGGACTAGTAGAGAAGTAGTAGTTTAGAGAAAAAGAAAGAGAAACAGAGAGAGGGAGAGAGAGAAAGAAGAGAGGAGGGAAAACATTGATTACATTTTGTAATTACATTAAACTAATTTTATTTACAGATAGTAGTAGTAGTAGTAGTGGTGGTGATGGTGGTAGTAGTAGTAGTAGTGGTGGTGGTGGTGGTGATAGTAGTAGTAGTGGTGGTGGTGATAGTAGTAGTAGTAGTAGTAATAGTGGTGGTGGTGATAGTAGTAGTAGTAGTAGTAGTGGTGGTGGTAGTAGTAGTAGTAGTAGTAGTAGAGAAGTAGTAGTTTAGAGGAAAAGAAAGAGAAACAAAGAGAGAGAGAGAGAGAGAGAGAGAAAGAGAAAGAGAGAGAACATTGATTACATTTTGTAATTACATTAAACTAATTTTATTTACAGATAGTAGTAGTAGTAGTAGTGGTGGTGGTGGTGGTAGTAGTAGTAGTAGTAGTGGTGGTGGTGGTGGTGGTAGTAGTAGTAGTAGTAGTAGTAGAGAAGTAGTAGTTTAAAGAAAAAGAAAGAGAAACAGAGAGAGAGAGAGAGGAGGGAAAACATTGATTACATTTTGTGATTACATTAGTCTTAATTTTATTTACAGGAAAAACCTCTGGATGTTAATAAATATGCAACGAAGAAGACAATTGCACAAGGAATGTTAGATATAGCTCTTCTCACAGCAAATGCCAGCCAGTTAAAATATATATTACAAGTTGGACACAAACATGAATTTTACACTTTGATGTTGGGACTCATAACGACATCTTTAATATTGCAGGTAAGCCTGAAAAAAATTTTCTTTCTCTCTTTTTCTCTCTTTTTCTCTTATTGTCGATCCGTGCCCCATTTCAAATTCGAAGCATTCTTTTTCGAGACTATTATTTTGTAGGTTTTGATTGGAATATTATTACTTTCTTTAAATTTCATGAGAGACTGCAAATTGCATTTACTGGAATATAAAAATTCGGCGACTTACATCAATTACTTCACGACGGGGGTTTCAATTGCCATAACCGCCATCAATTTATTAATCAGCGCTTTCGATCCCAGTTTAGCTCGATTCACTTCTTCGATTGATCTTAACAACAATAATAATTTAATGTCGGGTTTAGGTTTTCTACGTTCCAGTGAAAATAACTGGAAAAATATTACCACTCGTCGTTGAACAAACAACAACAACAACAACCCTTATTAAGTTTAACTATCATTATTATTATTAGTCGAGAGTGAAAGAGATATCTTATTTAAATTCATTAACCTCTTCTTATTTATTTATTTATAACTAAATTTAATATTATTATCATCATCAATTAAATCCCTTTTTATTCATAAGGACAAAATGTAAAAATTTTCAATGATGATGATGATGATGATGTTTGTCGTATTTTTCGTACATCAATATACGTATTATTATTATTATTATTAATTTTAAAATTTTTTGGCAAAATCATTTTATTTATTATTATTATTATTATTATTATTAGAGTTGACTATTTTTTTTTTTTTTTGAAAAGCACTCCGACGTTTTTATTATTGATTTTCCCCCCCCTCGAATCAGACATTTGGCTCTTTTTTCGTGCATTAAATAAATTAATTTCCCTCCCTTTTTGGCTCGCTTTCACCATTTTAAAATTACAAAAAAAAAAAAAGAAAACTTTTATATTTTCCGGCGTAAATAATACAAAAACGAAAGAAAGAAGGAAAGAAAAGAGAGGAAAAAGAGAGAGAGAGAGAGAAAGAGAAAAAACTAAAATTTGTTATTTTTTTCCTTTTTTCCTTTTTTTCCTTTTTTTCCTTTTTTCCTTTTTTTTGACGATTATCATTTTTCAATAGGAAAATTATATATATATATATATATATATATATTTATTACCCAGCAGGAATCGTGGCAGGAACAAGAGAAAAGAGAAAAGAAAAGGTTTTTTTTAGTAAAAAAAAAAAATTATTATTATTATTTTTTGCTTGTCGTAGCTTTTTATTTATTTATTTATTTATTTCAATTTTTTTTTTTAAGATTCAGCATTAAAAAATAATAAAGAAAAAGAAAATGAAAAGAAAAGAAAAAAGAAAATGGAAAAAAAATTATGTCGTGTAAATATTTTAACCTCGATAACTGACCTGATCTGACCTGGATGACTAACGACGATAATTACTAATTATTTAGTTTTTTTTTTTTTTATATTTTCTTACGGATTATGAATTAGTTTTCACATTTTCCGATTCGGGAAAACTTTTCATTTCCGGTATTATATAGTAGTATTAAATAATCCGTTAGAAAATGTATTTAATAAGTAAAGGAAGGGGGGGAGGGGGTGTGACGAATAATAGTCGGACATGTTTAAACCAGGGGTTGTTGTAAAATAACGATCGTGTCATTAGAAAAATTGAACAGTATATATATATAAATAATGTTTTTTTTTAATTAAAAAAATTGTTTTTCCACTTTCGGTTGTTTTGTTGTAGGTGATCGTAGGGATTTTATTTCTCGTTATCGGAGGACTTGACGTAAAAAAATGTCAGGAACAGAAGATTTGCATTATATTAAACGACACGATACTTTTATTAATATTTTTAATAAGTTTAGACAACGTTATTATATCCTCGTTCGGAATCGAATACAGCAATAACGAATTGAAATTAATTTACGACGATCAAAACGGAAATCATGGAAAACTTCCTTAATAGAATTATTTAACATCTTCTTCGTCATCGTCGTCCATCTTTGTTTTTTTAAAATTAGAATTCGTTACGTCACGTGATGCGTGTAAAATTATTATTATTATTATTAGCTTATTTGTTTGTCTTTAGTAACAAATTATAATTAATTAACGTCACGGAAAGTTTAAAGAATTTTTTTTTATTTTTTTGTCAATTACAAATCTATGTATTATTATTATTATTTCTCTCTCTCTCGCTGGGAGTATCGATTATTTTGATAAAATATATTTTTAAAAAAAAAAAAATCATGTACAGGTATCGGTGGCCGTGTTAAATCTCATATTGAGCCGTTTGGACGTTGAAGAATTTAAAAACAAAGGAATCATGACCGTATTGAATCACATAGGAAATGGTTGCGCCATGTTTGCTATGATATCTGACGTCATCAAAATGAGTTTTGGATTAGATCCGGCATTATCGATACGAGATTATTATAAAAAGAACAACGTCACCATATAATTCCTCTTGTTTCTATTTTTTTTTTGGGGGGGAGGGGAAGGGGGGGAATACTTTAGTTGTAAAGTAATTGTAAATTATATTTCTGTTGGAAATTTTTCCTTTTTTTTTTTTTTTTGAAATTAATGTTAATGATATGTGTAGGAGTTAATTACACAACGACGACATTTTATTTTTTAAATTATCTTTCATTTTTTTAAAAAAACTGTGGAAATTTTTGTTTTTTGTTTTTTCTGTTTTTCTAATCGTGGAAAATTTGTTTTAATGATATTAATTTTTTGTTTGGGAAATAAAACTGAGTCATTTTTTAAATTTGAAATCAAATGATTTAAAAAATATGTATTTTCATTCCATTTTTTTATTAATAATTTTTACATTAAAATATTTTATTATTAAAAAACGGTTTTTAAACGGTTTGATTTTTTTTTTATTTTACGTCAAAAAAAGAGGGAAAAAAAGAAAAAGTTTTCGACGTTTTAAATTTTATAAAAAATATGAAAATTTACAATAATAATAATAATAATGAGTGACGACGACGAGTCAAAAACAAATTTTAAAAGTTAATTAAATTCTTCTTAATGAACGTTATAATATTTTAACTAAACGTCAACTACAGATTAATTATTATTATTATTATTATTATTTACCTTTTTTTTTTTTTTTGTTAATAATATATATAAATAAGGATGAAAATTGATATTTTTTTAGATCGTAATAATTAGGAGGAAAAAAAAAAAGAAAATTATTAACGTAAATTCTTTTTATTTTTATTATTATTATTACTGCCGTAATAGTAAAATTACAAGCTCGTTTAATATATATATATATAATTTATTTATTTTTTGAGATTATATTTATTTAAATAAATAAAAACATTAAATTAAATTTTAACACACGATGTGAGACGTTTTTTTGTTATTATTATCTTTTGCTGTAAACATTAAAAGCGTTCCATGTTACATTTAATAACATAAATAAAAATGTTTTTTTTTTTTTTTTTTTTCACAAATAACATTATTTCGTATTGTCACATTGTGCAGATTCGCGAATGATTTTTAAATTCTAATAAAATTGTTTTCGAACATTTTTTTTTTCACATCGCGTCTTAATTTAATTATTATCAAGTTAAAAAAAAAAAAAATCAATTAATAAAATTATTTATTGGAAGTTTTGCTACGGTTAAAAGAGGCGGCGACAGACGACAGACGTTAACTTAAATTCGTTATTTTCAAATTATTAGTTTGTCATATTGACGACAGGTAGCACTCGTGTAGTTATTTAATTTCATTTGTAGTTATTGTCGAATATAATATTATTAACAGAAAAAAAATTTATTAATTAATAACAAATAATTATTAAAAACTATTTCACGGCGATAATTTTGTTTCTTTATTGTGAATCAAGTCTCGATAGAATGTAAATAAATTTATAAAATAACCAAAGGTACGTTTAAAAATTTTGTTTTTTATTTCATTTCATTCGATTCGTAACCGCCATTTTGTGAAATGTAACAATTATAATGTTAATCCCAAATTGAATTCGATTGTTATTATAAAACATTTTGGCACTTTAAATGATTATAATTTGTCTGATGTATTAAAAATTACTCTGTTACACAATTACATTGTGTTTGTCTGTCTGTCACTATTTAATAATGTGCACGAGCAAAACTTCCAACAATAACAAGCAATAACAAACAAAAAGTAAAAAAAAAAAAACTCATCATAAATTATATTATAGAATAATAATAATAATAAAACAAACAAACATATTATTAACATTTATTAAATGCTTTTTTTTAAATAATTCACCTGTTTTTGTTATTTATTTTTTTTTTTTTTACAATCATTTCATATATATATATTTAACAAATATGTCAACACATATAATATTTTACACATTTTATATTAAATATTATTATTATTCACATTTAATTTTTTTGTGTGTGGAAGAGAGAGAGAGAGAGAGAGAGAGAGGTAGTAAATGAATAAAATATTAAAAATGATGATGAAAAGTATAACATATAAATTAAAGGAAAAGAGATAGATAGATACATGATGGATTTGGAATGAAATTCATACTCATGACCAAAATTAACGTTTACATTTAACATTCAACAAAACTCTTTTTTTATTGTTTATTATTTTTTGTAATTGAAATGTTTGTACTGCGTTTGTTTGTTTGTTTGTTTGTTCAAAGGCTTCACACTTAAAATTGTTCAATAAAAATATAATCATCATCATCATCATAATCATTGCTTTTGTTAATAAATAAATTTAAAATCAAAATAGATCAATAGAATTATGACGTCATTTGTTATTCTTTTTTTATTACGTCAGTCTTAATATTATTATTATTATTATTATTTAGTAATATTTTATATAAGAATATAAAACGTTTTTGAATAATTTTTTTTAAAAAAATATAAATATTTATAAAGTTTTTAAAATTCGGATATTGTTGTTTATCAACGTGTAAAAAGAAGAGTAAATAACCGTTAAAATGGAAAATTTTGTCGTGTAATTAGAAAACCGTTATTTTTTACGTCACGTGAGTAAATTTTTATTATTTAAAATATGATTGTAATGCTAATAATAATAGTAATTATAAGAAGAGAAAAAACATAAGTAAATTTTTTTTTTGTTTTTGTTTTAAACGATTATATTTTTGTTATTAATATTATTATTATTTATTTATTTATTTATTTATTTATATAATTTTTGTTTCGTATAAAAATTCTAAGGTTTTAAAATACATATATATTATTTAAAAAAGATTAAAAAAATCATTTAGAAAAATAATTATTATTTTTTTAAAAAAAAAAAAGTGTATTATTATTATTAGTATTTTGTTTGAATTTGTACGAAATTTTTTTTAAAGTGATCGTTAATTAGGAAAAGATGATGAATTGGACCTTTTAAATTTTATTATTATTATTATTATTATTTTGTTTTACCTTTCATTCAAACCCAGAGGAACTAGAAAAAAGACTTAAACTACTAATTAAGGAAAGAAAAAAAAAAAAAAACATTGAAAAGTACAACAACTAGGTCATAATTAAAAATTCTGTCCATGGATCACTTTTTACCACCTTTTTTTCCACCTCCTGCTTTTTTATCACCTCCTCCTGCTTTTTGATCCCCTTTACCACCGCCAGAACCTCCCGAAGATGCTTTTTTCTGGGGAGGGAAAAAAAAGAATAATAATAATAATAATTATGTTGCTTATTGTTGTTATTTTCTACTTGTTTTCAAATGACTTTTTGAGTAATATAATTATCGATTAATTAAATTTTTAGATAATAATATATATTTTGAGGTGGTGGATGTGGTCTCTTAAATAAGAGCTGCCAACATTGTTTTCACAGAAAAAAATTAAAATTACGAAGTTTATTATAAGTTTGCAAGCCAATTTTAAATAAGTTCTAATCTTTTTGTTGGATTCTTTAAATTATTTATTTTTACAATTGATTATAATTTTTTTTTTCTTTTGGAAGAGTATCAAGTAAGCCGCCATGGAAAAAAAAAAAGAAATTTAAATTGTTTTTTTATTTTTTTACGTCATTAATTTTTTTTTTTTCGTTTGTTTGCATAAAACTTACTCAACGTTTAGTGACACCTGTTGGAATAAATGCTTACTACGTGTATTATTTACTCGTTACGTCATTTTTCAAAACAGTTTTTTTTTTTTTGGAATTATTTATACTAAATAATAAATCGTGAATTTTTTTTTTTCATATCAAAAAAACAAAATGTTGGAAAAAATAATTATTAAAATTTATTTCTTAGTTTAATCGTAAAGATAAATAAAAATGGGGGGGGGGGAAATAGCTTGCGGCGTATTCCAATAATATAAACTGTTTTATCATAAAAACAATGTTTTTAATTCATATTTAATCCAACAGGTGGCTATTGTAACCTTACGAAATTTTCAATATATATATATATATATATATATAAATAATATCAATATTTCCGGTGAACTTTAATTTTATAATTGTTTACCCCCCCCCCAAAAAAAAAAAAAAATTATTTTTTAACAATTAATATTATTACACGATTAATTTTAATATTTGTATTTGCATGAAAAATTTGAGCTTTTTAAAATATATTTAATATCAAATTTTTATTATTTAAACTCTCTTTATAACGCAAATGATGTAAGAAAGATTATTTAAAAAACAGGTACAAATAAGATAAATTTTCTAAAACTTACATCTCCTCCACCACCACCTGATTCACCTCCACCTTTTCCACCTGAAATCAAACGTTAAAAAACAATTTTTTAAAATTTAATAACAAGCGCTATCCTCCCCCCTAAAAAAAAAAAAATAATAATAATAAATTACCTTTTCCTTTTGCCATCTTTTTTTTTTTTTTAAATTATTATTTATATATTATAAATATATTTTATTTGAATTTTCGACTTGAATTATTTATTTCAAAAAATATTGTAAAAAAATAATTTTTTTTTTTCGACACGAACGTATGTTTTGTCCCGGGTTAAGCTCTGTCTATTTTGAAAATTTTCTAAAATTCATCAATACTTTGAATGTAAAAAGAAGAAATCCCTGAGGTGAGATGAAATCTTTTCATATTTTTTAAAAAAAAAAAAACTTATTTTTGTATTTTAAAGAGAAAAGCGCAATCTCCAAAAAAATTTAACTCTGACTCCTCCTTTTATTATATTTTTATATATATATCAACGATTTAAGTCGTAATTATTATTGTTGTTGTTGTTGTTGTTGAATTTACGACGACATTTAAATAAAATTAACGTTTTTTTTTTTTTTTTTTTTTTGTTAAATTCGTTTAAAAAAAATATCATTTTATGTTTTCCCCCGAAAAAAATAAAAAGAAATACGAAAATGAAATTTTTACTCGAATGTATTCATTCATCATTGTCGAGAGCAAATTTGAACGTTAGCAAAAGTCATCAAACGGAAACGAAAATTGAGAGAGAGAGAGATGACATCACTTTAATGGCGATGTACCGAGAGGTGCAGAATCATCAAAATTGTGAAAATTTGCGGTGTTTTTCTTGATTAATTCATTATTAGGTGTTTATATGAAAAATGATTATAACTCTTAAAAATTTACAACAGCAAACTTTTACGATAGATATCGATGTAAATGTCACGGTAAGAACACCATTTTTAATTTAATAAATGGGGGGAAAAAAAAAAAAAATTTTTTTTTTTTGTGTTGCATTTCGTTTTTTTTTGGTTAGAGTGATTGTGAATTGATATTTAAATTTAAAAAAAAAACGTTTTTTTCCTCCCCTCCCCCTTCGCCACTCATTCGAAAGTATTTGTAAATTTCAATTAATTATAAATTCGATTTAATTTAATAAGATTTTAATCAGTAACGATTGTTTGTGATGTTTAATAGCGCGTAAATGTTTCAAAAAAATTTGGTGGGTGAATTTTTGAATTTTTTATTTTGTTTTTTGATTTTTAGGTTAAAGTTCTCAAAGAAAAAATCGAGGCAGAAAAGGGTAAAGACTATCCAGCCGTTAATCAAAGGCTGATTTACGCTGGTAAAATCTTGACTGATGAAACCCCATTGAGTGAATATAAGATAGATGAAAAAAAATTCATTGTGGTTATGGTAACCAAACCGAAATTGCCTCCAGCAACACATGCAGGATCCTCAGATTCGACTCCTACTCCCGGTACGGGTGATGGAGGTGAAAAACAAACTTCTGATACAACTAGCAATGAACCTCCTGCTTCGGAGAATGTCAACTCTGGTGCAAGCTTTGGTCAAGCTGAATCTGCCTTGTTGATGGGTGATGAATATAATCAATCTCTTAGAAATATTATGGATATGGGATATCCCAAAGAACAGGTAAAAAAAGATAAAATGTATAATTTAATTATTTTATTTTAATTTCGTTTGAAATAAATATCGATATACAATTTTTTCATGACGAAAGGATGAGTATGATTGTACAATAAATTAAATAATTAGTGAAATTTGTTTAAATGAAATTATTGTGTTATTTATAATTTAGTAAATGCATGACTTATAATCAATGAAGTTATAAAAGTAACATTCGAGAATGTGTTGTACACTTAGTACCTGCACATGTGATCAATAAATACATCAATTTTCAGCATTTTTTTTTTTTTGTTAACATATGCACAAATATATTTAAAAGCATTACACAAAATTTTTGACATATACACTTATCAATTTTATTTAATTGAACAATATAAAGGATTATTCGATATTTTCAAACAGTCGCATGTACATGTGCTTCGTGTTTTAAACGATCTGTTAGGATAAAAATTTAATTATTAATATTAGGCAGTATTAAAAAAGAGAAAATTGTAATCGCCATGATAAAAATAATAGAAAATATTAATTAAAATGTAAAATATTTCATTTTTAATCACAATGGGATTGATTTTTTTTTTTTTTTTTGCAGGTCGAAAGAGCACTCAGGGCAAGTTTCAATAATCCAGATCGTGCTGTTGAATATCTTTTGAATGGAATACCATCAGATGTTGATGATACAGAATCCTCTGATGTTGGAGGAGAGGAAAATACTTTAAATCCTCTCACTCCGGACACGTGCGGAAACGAAGAAGATCCTTTGGCGTTTCTTCGATCCCAACCCCAATTCCAACAAATGCGACAAGTCATTCAAGCAAATCCACAATTATTAAATGCAGTCTTACAACAGATTGGTCAAACAAATCCAGCTTTGCTGCAAATTATATCACAAAATCAAGATGCATTTGTTAGAATGCTTAACGAACCTGGTACAGGTAAATACAAAAATCCTGTTTTTGAGGGGGGGTAGATGTATTTTAAAAATGAGGGAGACAAAAGTAACTTTTACACAATGTTCAAAATGTTTTATGCAATAGTTTTTAGTTTTCAAATTTTTTTTTTTTTTTTTTTTTTGGATGATTCGATAAAAATGTAATTTTGTTTTTTTTTTTTAGGTAGTGGAGCTACACCTGCACCTCCAGCAGCAGGGGGAAACCCGGTTTCTGGTGGAGCAGCATCAAATGTATTTCCTCCAAGTGTTATACAAGTTACACCACAAGATAAAGAAGCCATAGAAAGGGTAACAATTAATCAATTTTTTTTTTTATATATTAATGTTATTTATTCTCTTTTTCTTCCATTAAATTTTTTAACTTTTTGTTAAAATAGTTAAAAGCTTTAGGATTTCCCGAACACCTTGTTTTGGAAGCATATTTTGCTTGCGACAAAAATGAAAATTTAGCAGCTAATTTTTTGCTCTCCCAAACGTTGGATGACTGATGTAAGGTGTATTATCAAATTGAAGGTATAACTTTTTTTCCAATAAAAAAAATTGAGAATTAATTTATTTCAAAAGGATGAATTAAAATTTCTTTTGTTTTTGTTTCAGATTGTACAATTTTATCACAAAATGCATGTCTAATAATGATTGTGCAGTAATCAGCAAAGCAGTTAATATATTAAAAAAAAAAAAAAAAAATGTCTCAGCTCAGTTTTGCTGAAACCTTACCCAATTTTTATTACTTTTTTTTTTTCTCTCTTTTTTCTTTAGCGGAATTAATGAAAGCGAAACAAAAAAAAATATATATATATATATTTAAAAGAAAAAAAAAAACTAAAAAGAAAAAAATAACCAAAAAAAAGAAAAAAAAATTATTATTATTAAAAGTGAGTTACAAAAATAATTAATTTTTTTTTTTTTTTTTTTTTTTTTTTTTAATCATCGTCACTCATTTTTTGTACTTCTTGTCATCAATTAATTTAAAGTTGTTAAAAAAAAATAAAAATAAATAAATAAAGTTTTGATTATCCTTATTTAATATACTAATTATTAATTTATTTTATAAATATTTTACATTAAAGAACGTAGGATTGCAATTAAATTCCCGCCTTTTTTGTATGTGTTAAGTTTTTTACATGTAGGGCAACAAGACGTTTATTATTTCTGAACGTATACGTCATGTATTAGCACTGTACAGAGCAGAAAAATTTTAAAATTTAAATTAAAAAAAATGTTTGGCATTTTTAAATAATTAAAATTTGTTTTAATTGATTTATTTTATTTATTGATAGTTAATTAAACGTAAAAAAAAAATAATAATAATAATAAATTATGGCAGGAAACGTCACGGAAACAGATGGAAATGTAAAACGTCCATCAGGTAATAAAAATTGTCCTTGCCTATTCTTAATGAATGATTAACTGTTTTATACTTAAGGTTATAGAAATAAATTTTTCAAGTAAATGTCATTATTCATTTCTTTATTTAATATCTCATATTTATACGAATATTAACATCTCAATAAAGGACTTTTCTATTGTACAAAAATTATATTTTAAAAAGTTAAATTGATTTCATTTTTTTTATGAAGTGGAAAGTTCAGAGATTTTTAATCAATAATGTCATAAATAAAATTGTCAAAATCAATAAAATGTAGATTAAATTGTTGGGAGTTTACTTTTGGGTGGAAATTTTTACTTATTTGTTTTTATCATTGATTTTTACAAAACAAATTTTTTTTTCAAATTTTAATTTTTAAAATGTCATCAAATATAATGTTTATTTATATTTAAAAAAAACCATTTTTTAAAAACTTTTGCTTCAAACGATTGTCAGAATAATTATACTTTATTGTATTTTATTGATTAACATGGATTTGAATTGTTGTTTGTTCAATCATGCATTTATAAATTTTAGATAGTGCCTTCAAGCAACAGAGGTTACCTGCCTGGCAGCCGATTCTCACAGCTAGCACAGTACTTCCTACATTTTTCGTTATCGGAATAGCTTTTATACCAGTTGGAGTTGTTTTACTTCATGTATCTGACCAAGTTCAAGAATTCAGTTATGATTATACAGATTGTACTAACAGCAATGGAATACAGTGTGCACAAGTGGATAAACATAAACAAGATGACTGTAAATGCAGTATTAAGTTTGCCTTGAATCAATCTTTTAATGTAACGTTTCCCATTAATCAATTATTATTATTATTATTATAAACCTATTCAAATTTAATAATAATTTCATTATATTTAATCCTTAGGGAGAAGTTATGATGTTTTATGGGTTGACAAATTTCTATCAAAATCATCGTAGGTATGTCAAATCAAGAGATGATAATCAACTAAGGGGAATATTAAGCGATTCTCCATCGAGCGATTGTCAGCCATTTGCATTTGATAATAAAAAACCAATTGTGCCTTGTGGTGCTATAGCTAATTCTTTATTCAGTGGTAATGATTATATTATTATTATTTTTGATTTTATTCATTTTTACAAAAAAAAACATTTAACTTTTAATTAAAATTTTTTTAGATGAATTGACTTTAATGTACGAAGATAAAAATGTTCCATTATTAAATATCGGGATTGCATGGCCTTCGGACAAAACGATTAAATTTAGAAATCCTCCTGGAGATTTAAAACAAGGTAATAATAATCCTTTGATGGAATTTTTTTTTATTAATTCAAATATACTTTCTCAATGATGAATCGATATGATATAATTTTTATCTTTTGTTTGTTTAGTTTTTCAAAATTATTCAAAGCCAAAAGACTGGAAAAAAAATTTATGGGAACTTGATGAAAAAAATCCAGACAACAACGGTTTGCAAAATGAAGATTTAATCGTTTGGATGAGAACTGCAGCCTTGCCAACATTTAGAAAACTTTACAGGAGAGTCGATCACAGTGTGGAACCTTTCAAATCGGGTTTGCCAAAAGGAAATTACACTTTGATCGTTAATTATTGTAAGTAGCAGTCATGTTTACAAAAATAATTAGAAATACCTCCTCGTAAATATATACATTTTGTATGTTTTAATTTTTTTCATTTAGCTTATCAGGTTAAATCGTTCGAGGGTAAGAAAAAAATGATATTGTCAACAACGTCACATTTAGGAGGTAAAAATCCATTTTTAGGTATTGCATACATAGTCGTCGGAGCCATTTGCTTCCTATTGGGCATCGTATTTTTATTTATTCACATAAAATGCGGGAAAAGGTAAATCCATTCAATTTGTGCAATCGGACCCCCCCCCTCCCCCCAAAATTAAATTAAGATCGAGTTTACAATGAATTAATTTTAGTTATTTTGTTAATTATAGCACGTCGGAAATGATAAACATAAATCAAAGAACAAACGATTGAAGGGGGATGACCGAGTACGAATTCAATCTAGTCAACGAACAAAAAAAAAAAAAAAAAAAAAACAAAAATTAGGAAAGAAGGAAAATAGTAATAATAATAATAATAATAATAATAGTTATAATAAAATTTCACATTCCAGTATATGAGAAAAAAAAAAAAAAAAAAAGAGAAACAAAGAAACCTCTCAGTATGATTTATATATAAAATGGCGGGGAAAAAACAAAAAAAAAAAATTGATTTTATTTATTTATTTATTTATTTTTAAATTGTAAAAAAATGACACAGACAAAAGCAATGCAGAGAAAAGTAATTAATAATAATAATAATAATTATGCGTTAATTAATTACGATTCCAGTGATTTATCTACGAATAATAAATAAAATGATATGAAAAGAAAGTAATAATAAATATGGCCAAATATGGTTGATGATGGTTTTTTTTTTTTTTTTTTTTTTTTTTTTTTTTTTGACCTCACAAAAGAAAATCGTTCGATAATAATAATAATAATATTTAATTTAATATAAAAAAGGAAAAGCTGTAAATAATGCATGAAAATAAAAATTAATTTTTACTTATTGTAATATTATTTTTTATTCCAAAGATTAAATTAAAATTTATTTAAAATAAAAATTAGAAAATTTTTTTAAATGGAGGAGGAGTAGGAGGTGGAGGAGGAAGTAGTTATTGATTAAAATGTAAAATTTGGCATTATTATTTTAATTTTACTAAAGGATTTATATTATTATGTATATGATAAATATTTATTAATTTTTCTTGACGTATAAAATTTTTTTTTTTTTTTTTTTTTTTTTTTAGCCTTTGTGATTATGATAAAATCTTGCAATTATTAAATTTATTAAATGTTGTTTTAAAAAGAGAGAGAAACATTAATAATTAAACATATCGAATATTAAATAAATAAAAAGGGAAAAATCTTTTCTTTCTTTCTTTCTTGTTTTCTATTATTATTTACTGTTGATATAAATATATATTCAATATATGGGAACTCATTCTCTGTAAATTTTTATACTTTGATGTCTTTGTACTTATAAACAATTGTTATTTGGTAATAAATGTCTATTTAATTTATTTTTGTAAAAAAAAAAAAAAAAAAAAATTGAAATGAATTATTAGAATTATAATAAAAGTATCTATAAAAAAGAGTTTTTTCTTGTAATTTTTATTCACATTTAATTGTTACCAAAAAATTTATGGTAATTACAAAACTTAATTGTTATTTATTTAAGTTTTTAATTTATTTTGATTTATTTCCAAAATGTATTAAAAATAACCATTATTAAATATTTACTTGATGAAAATAATTTTGTTTTGATTTAATGACATAAATGTTTTTATTCAAGTTTAAATTCTTTAATTATTTAAAAAGGAGTACAAACGTTATTTAATATTTAAAATTATAACAATTGTCCCGAGTAAAAAATAAATTTAATATTTAATTAATAATGAAATAAAAAAATCTAAAAAATTAAATTAAATAAGAAAAAAATTTGAAAAACAGGAATTAACCGACCGACCGTTTGCCGTTAGTTACTAGCTACTTCCGCTAAGTCGATATTTTACGATTTCTGAACGCGCTCTAATAATAATGACATGATGTGATGGTATTGCCAAAATGGCAGACGTTGAGAATTAGTTCGTTCGGCTCGTGACTATTCGGACGGATAAACGGTTCCCGTTTATATATATAGATAATTTTTATTAATTTTAAATTGTGCATTTATAGTTTTTATTTTTATTTTTTCATATATTTAGTGATAATTTAAAGTTTTTAATTCAAATGCCTCATTTAATAGATACTTCCAAACAAGAATCCTTTGTTTTGACCTGAATACCAGTCAGGTTTAAATAATATTTTTACAATTTAACGAATGAATAAGTTAAATTATCGTTTGTTCTCGTGCGGTAGTGGTGTATAAATATATTTTTACATTTGTTTTATATATAAAATCGGTTATTTTTTATCAATTCAAATATTTTATGAATTATTTTGTTATGCGAATAGTTTTCGAAGCCTAAAAAAATGGACGCATTGCCATCAATACGGTTTTTTTTTTTTTTTTTTTTTTTATGAGTGAATAGTTGGTATAATACAAAGTTTTAAATTTATAATTTTATTTATGAAAACCAAATTATATATTTATACGTATAATTATTATTATTTATAGTGATAATGGCAGAATCAAAAACTAATTGTTTATTTGAGCTATTGTGCTTAGTTTATGTTTTATTTTCTTGTGTGGATTAATCATGAGAGATGTAGTCTACCTACCATTTGGATCTTCCTCGCCGAAGAAAAAGGTTTGGAATTTAAATTTTTTTTACAAGGTTTGAAGGAGAATTTAAGAGAAATCAAAACTAGGAAAAATGGCATCAAATCTTGGAGTGATGTTATACATCAGCACACTGCAAACTGTAAGAAATCAGTTATTTTCTATTTTGTTATTTTTATATTTTTTTAATTTATCAAAGTGTTCATTGGTTAATTTGGATAAATCATCTACGATACAAGCAGCTTTATTTAATTCTGAAAGAATATTAAGTACTGAACCAACAATATTTCATTATCCCCCCTCAACGATAACACCAAAAAATAAACTTTTAAATAGTAGTTTGGTCGATAAAAAACCTGTGCCTACAAGTTTTACTGTAGTGGAAAGCACTCCAGAAAAACCACCGTCTTATGTTAATGTAAAATTATCAAAACATGTAAAACATAGAGATGTTAGTAATAATCAATATCCTTCTTCCAGTCCTAGGTATCCTCAAATTCCCTCATATGCACCTCCAGCGAGAACTGGTTTTTTCACACCTCCTCTACCTCCAGAATATTTAAATCCATTTGCTGGAAAGCCGACATTGAGAGGTAGTAATTCAGAATCAAACAGCCACAATGCGAGGAGACCCATGCCTCCTCCACCGCTTTTCAGACCTCATTATGAAAATAAGGAAAGAGTTCCTTTGCCACCTCCTGATTTTATGGTTCCTGAAGCAAAGCCTAGTGGTAAAAAGGCTCTGAACACTCCTAGTCGACCAAATTCCCATCATGTTTCTGATAGTGCTTATAAAGAATTTATCAACTCTGATGGTAACAACTCAAATAATAACAGTGATAATTACAATAAAGAAAATGCCCCCGTGAGGCAAATAAACGATACGGATTTTGATTTTGTGCCAATACTACAATATCCAAGTGTGACGAGAATTCTTTCCGGAAGTTCCGGAAGGAGACACGATGTCCCAGATTTTAGCGACAGATATTCAGGACCGAATTCACGTCACGGTCATCACAGTTACGAGCACACTTCGAAAAGTCTTCCAAACATTCGGAAAGACTATAATTTTATACCAAATTTTCCTCGCGAGGGAACGCCGAAACCGCCGGAAATCATTAAGCCGCCACCCGAAAGAACGAATCATCACGTGTCTGTGGAACAACCATCTTCTCCATCTTCGTCGTCGACGATGGCATCATCGACGACGGCGCCGACAACACCGAACAACAACAAAACTCAGGATTCTGCGGTGTCGAACAACGCGTCGTCGAAGCAATCGGAGGAAGGAAACAAAACGATGACGGTCGTGGAAAGCGAATTGACGAACGTCGTGGAAATGTCAAATTCGGAAAAGCGTAATCCTCTGGAAGACGGAGAGGTGTACGATTCGGAATCGCACAAAGTCAACGATAAAAATGCTTTATATTTATGGGTTGTTGCTTGGGACATTCATGTTTACTTAATTGCCAGTTTATTTACACTTCTCTCTCTCTATGCCGTATATAATTTAATACTTATGAAATTTTACAAACATTTATTATCTCGCCCCTATTACATTAGTATACATGTCATAATAGCATTGATTGGTATATTACGATCCGTGTATTTATTTCACGATGCTTACAATACGACTCGTTCTTATCCCGAGCCAATATCTCATCTGTTGCTTAACATAACGTGTCCATTAATAACGACATCATTTTCAATTATGTTTTTGTACTTGATAAAAACGGCGGACGTGTCGCTTTTTAATTCAAATTTTCTCAAACATCCGATATGCTTGATACTCATGTCTCTTTCACACGTGACGTTGTGCATATGTTTGGATGTGACAAGTGACTTAACTTTTGACGTTTCGGGTACGAAATACCTGCCTTTGGTGTGTCAATGTATTTACATACTCTTTTGCATTATTTTGGGGGGAAGTTATTTGTACATTTATAAGAATTTAGCGAATGCGGCGTCGCGAAAGCAAGTGGAAATGTTCGGTTCTTTGTACACCACCACGTCCGAACTTCACAAAAATCGGCCGGCCGTTTTGTGCTTGGCCATCAGAATAACTCTCGCCGTTGCCATGCTCATACTCCTCATGGCAGCCGTTCAAGTCTACGGCGTGTTCGGAGTTCCCGTCGGTCTCCACGATTCTTATTCGTTTTTAGATCCTCAAAATCAAAATATGCAACGGTGGGTTTGGTGGGCTTATCATTTTAGCGTTAGACTTATCGAAATAGCAATTTGTTATTTATTATCGTGGGCGGCGATGCAAAGGTTGCACAACGAAGTAGACGAGAAAGAAACAAATTCACAAAATTCCACGACGGGTCTCGCACTTTTCCCATGCGGACCGTGTAGAAACGCCGAGGAAAACATAGACGACATTTACCCGGCGGTTTGCAACACGAATCAAGCGATTCATAATTATTCGTTGAGAACGGGTAAAAAGGTTTATAACGATTCTTTCCCGTTGAATAACATAGGTAATGAATTAACGAAAACTCCCATTCCAAATTTCGAAAACGCGGATCACGTAAACAATTCGTACGATAGGCGGAAAACCAAGAGGCACAATGGAAATTTACCCTGGCACTTGAATCAAAATCAGTCGAATAATTACGACGAAATCGGTCCGGGTTCGGAAATAATTGAAATAAAAGACGCTTTGACTCGTAAGGGTCTGTCGAATTTGAACAGGAGCGATTCGGATGCTTCACGGACGAGTCACATCCCGGCTCACGTGAGTTACGAAAGCATCGGATACCACAGCGGAACGTTTCAAAATCGTTTGGGCGTCGAAAACGGTCATTTCGACTACGACAAAGACACAAATTCGGATCGCGGTTCGAACATTTCGAAAACGGATAGCCATTATTTCGAGAGCGATGCTTACGATTCGAATCGCGGGTCGTTCACGATGGGTCATAAGAAAATGCATAGGAATCACGATAGGAGTTCGCATACTAACATGAAAAAAAGTGGGACCATGGCAGGGGGATTTTCGCAAGGTGAGAAAAGGAGAATGACGAGTCGGGACGGAGTTCAAACTCTCAGGGAAGGTGGGAGAGATGGTAGGGAAAGGCAAAGTCCCAATTCGATGCTCGTAGACGAAAATGGTTTCGTCCGGTTTCGTTCCTTAGCCGACGCCGAAAGGATATCCGAAGAAAATTTTCGGCGATCGGGTCACGGCAAGAAAAGTTTGCCGAGAAGAGTAGGCAACGAAGAAAGGATACCGCGGTAGAAATTCCCTTTTTAAAAATAAAAAAAGTAAAAAAAAACGTTTTTCATTAAATTGTTAAGTGTGTTTATTTTAAGAACCAATTTTAAATTGCATTGTTAATGGTGAAATTTTTTTTTTTTTCTTTTTCCTCGAGTCGAGTCCTCAGTTATTACTCACGATTTTATAAAAACAATATTGTTATTATTATTATTATTATTATTACTATTACTATTACTATTTTATCGTGGCAGACTGTTCACATTTTGATCGCTCCGATTTTAAAGGATTATTATCATTTAGTAAGTAAGTAAGAATTTCTCTTTGTTGTTGTTGTTTTTAAACATTTATTTACTCTTTCGGTCAGGCAGGCAGGCAGGCAACGTATACCGACCGGCGAGACGTTTCTTTCTATCTGTTCTGTTCGAAACAACAAAAAAAAATTAACTAATTATTCCCCGTTCGTTCGTTCGTTCGTTCGTTTATGTAAAAGGTCTTTGAAATTTATAACGTTTTCTTCGTTCGTAAATTCTATTTGATTCGATTCTCTCTCTCTCTCTCTCTCTCTCTCTCTCTCTCTCTTTTTGTTATATATATATATATATATATATATTTTTTTTTTTACGTAATGCTTTTAAGTTAAACGACTTTTTGTTCAATTTTTTCCTTCTTTTTTTTTTCTTTTTTTTTTAATTTTTATGTAATGGGTAATGAGCAAAAATTTCGTGATGTGATATTTGTGTCAAATTTTACCTTATGAATTTTCGTTCCCGGAAACGAGATTTTCGTCTTTTCGCCTTCTCGAATTTTTTTTAGCAAAATTGAGCGTGCCTAACGTTTAACATAATGGAAACCACCCCGCGATGACTCTAACTCGAAAAAAATTTTTTTTTTTTCTCTCTTTCTTTTTCTTCTTCTGAGTAGAAAGCAACATGGAGAAAAGCCAAAAAACTTTTAACCCTGTGTAAGAGAGAGAAAAAATATATGTGAAGGGAGTGATAAGGGTGGGAGAGAGGGGGAGGAAAAAAGGTTGAAGCAGATATTTGTTAAAATCCCGTCGAAAAAAAATTTTTTTTTTTTTTTTTAACTACGTTTGTTGTATACGGTCGGTAGGGTCGTCGGGTGCGTGCGTGTGTGCGTAAGTTTTTATGCGTAGGATATTAAAAAAAATTTTTTTGGGAAACAATAAGCGTTAAATAGTCGGAAAAGTGAGTGAGAGGGTCCGCGGCGATTAATTTAATACTGTTGGCTGTGAAAACATTTAGGGTTTTTCTCGGAGAGTAAGGTAGAGAGAGAGAGAGAGAGAGAAAGGAAGACTGTTTTTGTCAGTTGAAACATTGCCTTTTTTGGGGGGGTGGGGTGGAAAAGGTCGCGTCAGGGTCAGGGAAAGAGAGAGAAAAACAAAATAATAATAATAATAATAGTCTGGAGTCTTAATCGTCGAGAGAGCGCGGAAAGAAAGGTTTTTTTTAAAAAAAATTCATTATTAAAACGAACAAACAAACAAACAATGGGGTTTGTTTTTGTTATCTTTTTTCTTCAAAAGCTTCTTTTTTTTCTCCAAAAACTCTTTTGTTTTGGTTTCCCCTCCCCCCGCCATTTGGGTCTTTTCAATCGCCGTGTAATTTTTAAAAACTCCAAAACCCTCCGTCAAAAGATTTATATCTTTAATTCACGAAAAATTTTTCACGGGATTTTAAATCCTATGAATTTCTTGCCTATTCTTTCGTACATAAATCAATCCGGGTTTTTCGGGATATCACATAAAGTGGTCGATCGGATATCCGTCATTCCCCCCCCTTTTTTTTTTTTTTTTTTTTTTAAATTTGCAATAAAGATTTTTCACTATCCTGTTTGTTGTTGTTGTTGTAGTCGTAATTTATAAAAAAAAAAAAATTTAATCTCCGTTTTTGTAAGTCGGATGAGTCAGTCAGTCAGTCAGTCAGTCAGTTGGACATTTAATTACGAATTTATTATTATTTGAATTCGTCCGAATCGGTGTTTTTGTTTGTATTTTCCTTTTTTTTCCCCCCTCCCTCCCCACCTTCCCCTCATTTTCCTTTTCCCTGATTGGTTTCAGTACGTTTCGAAATAAAAAATGTTTTGTTCTCTTCCGAAGATAAAACAAAAAAAAACAAAAAGTTTATTTTTTTTTATTAAACTGTAATGTGGGTGGCTCAATTATTTTCCCAAAAGGTACTATGACAGGTATTATATTCAGGTTTGGTATTTCTCACCCTCTAGACCTCGATTGGAAATTTTTTTCTTTTACTTTTTTTTTTTAAATCGTGACCGCAAGGTCCGTTTGTTCTTTGACGGTCCGGTGTAATTAATAATTTTAAAACCGCCGGGTTGGGTGATGTTTAACAAAAAAAAAAAAACGAGCACGAGGGTAAACAGTTGTTTTTAAAAAATTTCTTTTCTTTTCTTTTCTTTTCCATCTGTATAGCGAATTCGTAAAGTTTTTCGTATAAAATATGCAAGAAACCACCTAAATTTTTAGTTTTCGTTTTAATTTATTTTATTATTTTTTTTTTTTTTTATCTTCGAATGCCATCTTGTAAAGATTTCAGGCATTAAAAATGTTTTTTTTTTTTTTTTTTTTTTTTTCGTTATTTTCGCGATTCGAAACAATGCGAATGTGGAGCTTACAGAAAAAAGAAAAGAAAATTTTTTTTTTTTTTTTTCAACGCAATAAATTCGATTGAATTAATTTTATTTTATAAAATATTATACGAAAACTTTCTCTCTCTCTCTCTCTCTTTCTCTCTCTCTCTCTCTCTCTCTTTCTCTCTCTCTCTCTCTCTCTCTCTCTCTCTCTCTTTCTCTCCATTTCGCACTCTCGACGACGACAACAACGACAACGACGACGACGACGACTAATTTTTTTTTTTTTATCTTAGATAAAGGTTTATTATATCACAAATAGTATCATTATTATTATCATTGTTATTATTATTATTATTTGTTTTTTTTTTTTGTCTCTTTCCCCGTTTTCCCCCGGTTCGGAAAAAATAAAATAAAAAATAAAATGAAATAATGGGGAGAAATGTAAAAAGAGAAAGGTAATTCGTAAAAGCATTCTTAGAAAAGGAAAATCAAAAGATAAATCTTAACAAAACTGGGAAAACCCTTGGGAACGAAATAAAAAAAAAAGAGAGAGAGAAAGAAAGAAAAAAAAGAAAGAGAGGGAAAGAGAGAGAGAAAGAAAGAAATCTATCGAAGGTGAATTCTCAGCTTTTTGCTCTCGATCTTTACTATTTTTTTTATTTTTTTTATTTTTTTCCCCCTCGTGAGTTTTATTTTTTATTTTTTTTTTATATTTCATCTTTCTCTCTTTCTTTCTTTCTTTCTTTCGAATCGAGAATGAGTAAGAAGGAAAAAATGAATGAAAATAACGTATGAGGATAATGAGAGAGTGGGGGGATGAGTGTATCGATATATTACATAACACATCCAAACATTTCACCCCCGACTTATTTATCTCACAGATAAGGCAAGCCTAAAAGTGCGGATGGATTGATGGGAGAAAGAAAGGGAGAGAGAGGGGGGAGGGAGGGGAAGGAGCAAAAGAGGAGTTGACCCTGCGGTTAAAAGGAACTAAATTGAATTTTTTTTTTGTGGCGTGTGTGTGTTTACGTTTTTTTTTTTTTTTTTTTTTAAACATCCAAAAACTTTATTCCCTTCCCACAGGTTTTTTTTCCGGGGAAGGGGGGGGAAAGATTTCTGCTTTCTATCCCTTTCCCCACCCCCTCCCTTTAGTTTAGATGATCCCTTTAAAGTCCGTGTAATGTTTTTTAAATTGAGGAAGTCATTCATGACCGGGTTTAAAATGATTTTATTCGATTTCTCTCGATCATCATCATTATCATCATTTAGGCAAAATGCGTTTGTTTGACGGTTTCGTTTGTCGCGCGCTACGACCTACCCTTCTATGGTTTCCAAGATTTTTATCGGGGGGGGGGGTTGTGATTTTTATAAGATGTGTGTGGGGGTGTGCCATCGGCAAAATAATCCCTCACGTTTTTTTTTTTTTTCTTATTTTTTTCCTCTCAACTTTTTTTTTTTTTTCGTTTTCTTCGGGGATTCTCCCGAGAAAAGGAAAGGAAAAGTCGAGTTAAATAAATTGAATAAAAGAAGAAAATATGTCGTCACATTTAAAGTGGGGGGGATTTTTCATTTTTTTTTTTTGCTTTAGTAAATTTTTTGTAAAAAAGCGTCCGGGGGTAAATTTTTTTCCTCCCTTTCTTCATTTCATTTATTATTATTATTTTCTTTTGTCTATTTTTTTCCTTTTCACTTTTTTTTTAAAAAAAAAAAAAAAAAAACTTTTCCTTTTGTGTGAATGCGTGTGCGTGTGTGTGTTTTTTTTGTTCTTCTCTCTCTCTCTCTCTCTCTCTGTGCGTGCGTAAGGGATTTTTTTTTATTTTTTAAATTTCGACTTAAATTTCAAAGCTTACGTGAAAGAGGGAAATTTTTTCCGAATGGTTTTCGTCGTATTTGTTGCGGTTGTAAAATTTTTCCACTCGGTTTTCCCTCCCCATCGTCTTCTTCTTTGTCGGAAATTTTCACAATTTGATTTTCTTTAGAAAGAAGGAATAAATAAATAAATAAAGTTTTTCCTATGAGATATTAATAACAATCGGAGAGAATTGTCGACGTATATTGATATAAATTAGAAAGAAATCTATAGCCCAAGAGAAAACTTTTTTAAGGAAAAAGGAAAATGAAAGAAAGATGGAGGTAAAATTTGTGCGTGCGTGCGTGCGTGTGCGTATTTAAAAATGTTGTTTGTTTATCCGAGGTGGGTATTAGAAAAATCAAATCAAATTCATAATTTTTGCGGTTCGATATGTGTTGTGTGTGTGTGTGGTTGATGAAAATATGAATTTCTTTTCTTTTCCATTCGAGCGTATGCATGCATGCGTGTATGTGCGTAAATATGCGTAAGAATTGCCGTCGCTGCCGTCGCCGCACACATGATACGCCCCATGATAGAAAGAATGGCTTTATTATTATTATTA